GAGATTACAAAGTGTGGGGTTTCTAATAGTATTATCCATAAAGCAGAAGAGGGGCTGCTGAGGTGGTTTGGACATTTTAGAAAGGATGGAATGAAATAGAATGACTTAGAGAGCATATAAATCTGTGTTGGAAGGAAGGTGGGGTAGGGGTTGTCCTAGGAAAGATTGGAGGGAAGGGATAAAGGAGGTTTTGTGTGCAAAGGGCTTAGATTTCTAGCAAGTATATGTGAGCATGTTAGATAGGAGCAAGTGGAGACAAAGCATTTTTATGACTTGACATGCTGTTGGAGTGTGAGCAAAGTAACATTTATGAAGGGATTCGGGGAAACCAGTTAGATGGACTTGAATCGTGGAGGTGGGAAGTACAGTGCCTGCACTCTGATGGGAGGGTGGGGATATTTGCAGATTTGAACTGTAGTATCAGTGCCCCTCTGGCAAGACAGTGATGGATTGAGTGATGGTGAAAGTGTTTCTTCTTTTTTGGGTCACCCTACCTCAGTGAGAGATGGCTGATGTATTAAAAAATAAAATAGAAGAGTTAACACTGCAGCAGTGGTGTTGGCTAGATGGAAGTGAGCCACTTCTTTTCAGGGCTATTCTCTGATACAAGAACAGTTGGACAGATTAACTGGTAGCGAATGAGTAATGGCTGCAGATGGTGGAATGTCTGATCTTCCTTGTACTCCCATCTTCTCTCTTCAGAAATTCATATTAAATTCAGGTAAACTTAATATCCCTAGGCATAACATAAAAGTTGATGGGGAACCTCAAACTTCTCCCATACACTTTATGTAATGAAGAGGGAATACAAACCTGGGAGTTGCCTGCTGAGCAGCACAGAAATGTTTCCATTGCTGTTCAGGGTGAGGAATAACCTGGTGCTTGCAGGCAAGAGAAAGAGCTTCTTCAAGAAGAGGAACTGGAAACCCCCATTCTAATATCTTCCAGGCAGTTGGTGCCCTGGCACTGGAGTTGGTAAAACAACAAAGACTTCACTAAGCTTAGATGATCTTTCCTCATGAGCAGAGGGAGAGCGATCAGGTACCAAAGAGGTATAAGTAACAATAATGATGCAATGATGATATGCCAGCAGCTGAGCTGATCAAAAGTGCAGCAAGAATTGTACCAATGTTCAGGTAGGCTGACCTGGACAAATATTTTGATAACTTTGAAAACAAAGCACAGTGAACTGGCTTGAAGAATGTTGGGCAGCATTGCTACATATCCATTTGTAAGGTAAGGGGCAAGAGAAGACATCGACACTGTCCTCTAAGACATCGGGATCATAAGTTTGCAAAAACCTCAGTTCTGAAAACTTACGTGTTATTGCTAGCCAAATATCAGCAAAAATTTTGCAACCTTTGTCGAAGGAATGTTGAGAGCTACCATGACTTTGCTCAGAGCAAAAAGACCGCTTTTCTGTGGTAGTGTCAGGTAGCAGAGGTAGGCCAAGACTTTGAGAAATTGGTGCAACTAATCTTGATAGAAGACTTTGTCCCCAACATGATTATGGAAGTCCAAGAATATCTGGAAGATAAAAAAAATATTCATCAGTTGTGGAAGAAAGTGAAATGGCTAACAGCACAGGTCACTGAAACACCAACAGGCAGATAACCAGTGATGGCCAAGGAAGATCACAAAACAGGCCTCAGGATAAACCCCAGAAACATGTAACCAAATGTTTCCACTATTTGTGAAGAATGTTTCAGCCTGATTCAGCCTGACAAACAAACAGAATCAAAGATGGCAGTCTCAGTCCCAGTCGTCTAGCCCAATGGTACAGTACACGTTAACTCCAGTTAGGCAACAGAAGACTCATCAGCTAAAAGTCATCCACTGCTGACAAGAAAATAGCAGCTACTGTTATGGCTGGTACTGACAATCTGGATGCACCCACCCAACCAGCAAGGTACAGTAGTTAAAGCTGTAATGTGCCCATTTTACAGTGTCACTCAGGTAGCTGTAAAGCATTCAATCACTAAATAATTATGATACTTTGTGATTCTGGGGCATACTGCACTTTACTGCAATCCTCAGTAGTAAATGTAGCACCTAGCATATTCACTGTGGTTAACATCTTGTTAGAACCTTACAAAAGGGCTATATCTAGCATATTAATACACATTTTATTTTTTGCAAAAGTAAATTCTTCACTGGCTATATGTGTAATTGTGTATCATGAATGGGACTCTCTGGCAAATTCCCTGTTCATGATACACAATTACTAGTCGAAAATTGTGTTAACGCTTAGCAGTGTGGTGAACTTTAATACAAGCAACACATTCTGGAAGAGAAAACAGACTGTACCAGAGCTATTTACAGTGGCAGCTGTGATGCAGTCACAGCTATTGGGGTATGAGATTGATGAACCAACAGATGACAGTGAAACAGGGTTAGCTCATTTGTTTGACAAGATCCAGGTATGGTCACACCTCCCTCATGAGTAAACCATTATTCAAATCCCATCCTCTGTGCAATCTCAGTTGATATCTCTCAGTGCTTCAGAGCCTACTGTTTCAATGCAATACAACAGAAAAGCAGAAAGATGACATACATTTATGTCTGCTCGCAATCTGTAACAATACAACTGTTTATATAACCCATTCCATTATACTTATGAGAAATGATTCAGCATCCGATATGGAGAAGCATCAGACATGGAAAATTAAATATTGTTTGGGCTTTCCACAAACAAATGTAACAAAGTGATGAAAGTGGAATGCAACAGTTCCATAGGATGGCATTTAGGAGTGAAGAACATGTTGGCAAAAACTGCTGAAGAACTTTTTCCAGCTTCACATGGATAAAGATGTTTCTGTTCATGCTTAGACACATTGCTGTTCATCCTATATGACCAGCATTCAGTGAACCTTTCTCCAGACTTGCAAACTGTGTTGGTCCTTTACCTCAGACTCATATGAGTAATGAGCACTGCTTTACCAAAATTTATACATCCACTTGTTATCCTGAAGCAACACCATCATGATGCATCAATGTGTGCTCTGTTGACCATCATGATGCATTAGTGTGTGCTCTGTTGACCATCATGATGCATTAGTGTGTGCTCTGTTGACCATCATGATGCATTAGTGTGTGCTCTGTTCACCATCATGATGCATTAGTGTGTGCTCAGTTGTTAACAAAATCTTATGGTTAGTTGTCATGTGCCAAGTGAACTGAAAATGGCTCCTCAGCTTCATTTTTAACAATATCTCTTTAAATAAGAAAGAATCTGACTAAAAGAAGAGAGGACTGGGTGTGGGAATTATAATGAGGATATGATGAAGTCTCGCAGTATTCAATTTTGAGTGACAAGTCCCAAGGGAAAATATCAAGACTTACAAATTAAGACCATGAGTAAGCATAGACAATAATAAACTAAGCTGAGCAAGGCCAACATTGAAAACAGACATGGCCACTCTGGCCCCCAATGGACAAATGCCCAATGCAACAGACCTGGTCTACTGCATCCACAATTCTACAAGCAACATCCCCCTCCCCCATGCAGCAGACACACACACTACCTCAGTGGGAGACAGCTGGTGTGTTAAAAAAAATCTGAAATCCACTGCATAGGGGTCTGTTATATTGAGGTTTTACTTTTCCATTTTAGTAGGTTCTGCTATTTGTCAGTTCAAAGCAAACTTTTTGCAAGAGCCTCAATAACTCTCTGGTAAGTCTGTTGGGCAAACAAACAACTTTATTTTGATAAAGTATACAATTGCCACAGTATTAATTAATGTGTATAAATTACTTCAGGGAAAGCCCTTTGTTATGCAGAGCATTTTGGCAGAGTTAAAATTAACTTATAATTACTGGACAGTTGTACAATTAAGTCAGTTTACTAGACTGATATGGTTTACAAAAAACTAACACTTTGGTTTATAAATTGTGAAATAATGAGATCTTGGTGAATGCTGAGGTAGAACATATTTTCAGTTGAATACATAACATGTTGCAATAGATTGGGAACAGTGAGAACATCAGTAAGAGTGCTAATATGATTTGTATCAACAGAGTTGCTAATAATACATCAAGCTGAAACATAATTTGTCCAAGCAGGGTTTAAGTCAGAATTAGGTGCTTTTTTTTTTTTTTTTTTTTTTACTTTTTCTGAAGTAGATGGCTGAAGGGGAACACAAACAGGAAGCACAGCTGTCTCATACTCAACAGAAAGAGGATCAAGCCTCCACCACATCTTGTGATGAATGACCCATATGGGTTTAGCACTTAACATTATTTTTTTTTAAGGGAGTTCCAAATTTTAGGGTCCTTTATTTGCATGGAGTTCCTATATAGGTTAAGCCAAATAAGTGGTATATCAGAAATGCCTATTTCTTATACTGTGTCTACATGTTCCGTTGCAGTTCTCCAGGCAGAATTGGATTGAAATCAGGTTGAAGTTTCTTCTAAGCATCCTATATACATAAATTACATAGTAGTGAGTGTGGATGTGATGTACGTTGAGTAAATTGAGATTTATATATATTTTTAGCTGTAAACTGAGCAAATATGTATTCCCATGCTCATCTCTGGTACATGTACAGCATATGAATTGTATCTCATTTGTATAGTTTATTGCTATCCCACCTCCCACTTAATCAGGTCCTCAACTTACAAACACATCGGGGACCTCCTGAATTGTGCATAATAATGATATACATAATAATATTATACACAATAATGATATAATAATGATATTATACAGAATGTAGAAGATTCTCAATGTGTTTGTAAGTTGAGGAATTAGTGTAATAAGCTAAAACTGCAACTACACTAAGCCAATAATAATACCTAAACCCTTGACATAACAGACTAATGGGGAGAGGGGTGTCTATTATTATTATTTTTTTTATTAACACACTGGCCGATTCCCACGAAGGCAGGGCGGCCCGAAAAAGAAAAACTTTCACCATCATTCACTCCATCACTGTCTTGCCAGAAGGGTGCTTTACACTACAGTTTTTAAACTGCAACATTAACACCCCTCCTTCAGAGTGCAGGCACTGTACTTCCCATCTCCAGGACTCAAGTCCGGCGTGCTGGTTTCCCTGAATCCCTTCATAAATGTTACTTTGCTCACACTCCAACAGCACGTCAAGTATTAAAAACCATTTGTCTCCATTCATTCCTATCAAACACGCTCACGCATGCCCGCTGGAAGTCCAAACTCCTTGCACACAAAACCTCCTTTACCCCCTCCCTCCAACCTTTCCTAGGCTGACCCCTACCCCGCCTTCCTTCCACTACAGACTGATACACTCTTGAAGTCATTCTGTTTTGCTCCATTCTCTCTACATGTCCGAACCACCTCAACAACCCTTCCTCAGCCCTCTGGACAACAGTTTTGGCAATCCCGCACCTCCTCCTAACTTCCAAACTACGAATTCTCTGCATTATATTCACACCACACATTGCCCTCAGACATGACATTTCCAATGCCTCCAGCCTTCTCGTCACTGCAACATTCATCACCCATGCTTCACACCCATACAGGAGCGTTGGTAAAACTATACTCTCATACATTCCCCTCTTTGCTTCCAAGGACAAAGTTCTTTGTCTCCACAGACTCCTAAGTGCACCGCTCACCCTTTTCCAATCATCAGTTCTATGATTCACCTCATCTTTCATAGACCCATCCGCTGACAAGTCCACTCCCAAATATCTGAATACATTCACCTCCTCCATACTCTCTCCCTCTAATCTGATATCCAATCTTTCATCACCTAATCTTTTAGTTATCCTCATAACCTTACTCTTTCCTGTATTCACTTTCAATTTTCTTCTTTTACATGCCCTACCAAATTCATCCACCAACCTCCGCAACTTCTCTTCAGAATCACCCAAGAGCACAGTGTCATCAGCAAAGAGCAACTGTGACAACTCCCACTTTATGTGTGATTCTTTATCTTTTAACTCCACACCTCTTCCCAAAACCCTCGCATTTACTTCTCTTACAACCCCATCTATAAATATATTGAACAACCATGGTGACATCACACATCCTTGTCTAAGGCCTACTTTTACTGGGAAATAATAATAATATCACGTCAGGTAATGGGAACAAGCCCATTATCTGTCTCAGTGCTGGTGGAAATGATATTGGGAAGGGTAGGAGAGAAGAGCTGCTAGGTAAGTACAGGTCAGCTATAGATTTCATTAAGTCTAAGGGAGGGATCCCAATCATATGTAGCATCTTGCCTAGAAGGGGAGTAGGAAATGAATGGTTGTCTAGGGCAATCGGTGTAAATTGCTGGCTAGACAGATACTGCAAGGAACTTGCAATCCCATTCATTGACAACTGGAACAACTTTTATGGCAAACATGATATGTATGCAAGGGATGGGGTACATCTCTCTGGGCCGGGGGTGGTAGCATTTTGCAGATTTCGATTGAAAAGGCCATTGGTGAAATGCCTAGATTTTAAACTGATGGAAGATAGAGGTATGGGTGTGTGTGGGAAACAAGCAGGTTGC